GGTTGTTATGTTTTGGGGACCCTGGGGGTGGATGGTATTGTTTGTACACCCCAGGAGATGGGAATCTGGGGGTGGCCAGTAGGCCTTGATGACCAAAACAGCCTGTACTGCCCAGCAGCTAGGCAGAGGAAAAAAGCCAACTTAGTAGACAAAAGCTGGTGCTGAGATTGGGAAGCCCTGTGTGGCTGTTACGCAGCTTAAATATGTTGAAGGCCAGTGAGTCTCTTAAAATCACCTGTGGGTGATGCCCTGTTCCTTGTGGAGTAAGGGTGAGGATCTGAGGAGCCCGTCCTTGGGGGACAGGTAGGGAACGTGGCTTGTGGTAGAGCCCAAGCTGAAGAGGGGACCCAAGAGAGGCCGCATGTGGAGCTTGTATCCACGGATCCCTGACCCATGTGCTTGTGCAATGGGTTGGCCTGAGTGCAGGAGTTTGCGTGTCACATTGGTGGCTATGAAAGCCCAGTGTTGGAGCGACCGCAGACAGAAACCCTGAGGGTTGGCGATTACCCCCAAAGGGCACAGAATCGCCAACCAAGAGTGAGTGCATCCTGGGGGGTGGATGCGGTGTGTGGCTTGTGGCCGAGACCACAGTCGGATGGTTCCCCCCTTGTATGAGCAGTGCCTTCGGCAGCAGAAGTGGTAGATCATCTGCTGGTGCCAATAATCTTGTCTTTTGCCACTAGGTTGGTGCCCTGCCTGGACTTATTTGTGTTTTGTTGTATTTTATTTTTTATATTGTGATGTATTTCATTTGCTTTTGTGGGTCATGGCTGCAGTGTTCATATTGCCAAGGGAAACATGTATGACTTGTATATAGACTGTATGGCAGAAAACTCTGAGGGGGTGGATTGTAGGGTAAGTAAAGTATCAGGCTTTTCTGCTCTCCCACCATTAGGATTGATGATGGATCCTTGCGGTCCTGAATGCATGCCTGATGGTGGGCACCTGGAATAGGGTGTGAGCATATGTAGATGGGATTCACCTGGGCTGAGACTGGGCTTATAAGGACGGTGTCACAGGGACGCCAGCTAAGAGCAGAACCACGAGAGAAGCAGAGAGAGCGCTGGAGAGCCCAGGCAGAGTGAAGGCTTTCTAGGGTCTGGGAGGTCTGCCAGCCTCCCAGCACCCCTGTCCCCCAGCACCCCTGCCTGCCGTGTACCTGGTAAAAGCCTGCAAAAGCCACTGAGAGCTCCAGGACTTCTCCTTTACCCTGTCTGCTCAGATTGTAGCGCTCTTGCTCCATCCCTGTCCCTTCCTGTCCATTACAGATGCTTAGAAAATTTTGAGGAGTTATCCTACACCCTAGAAATTCTATCTCATCTATAAGTTTTCCTATTTACTTTTGAAAATGTTAATTTACAATTTTTTCAAAGGTAGTCATATGATTAGTACTCAGATACTCAGTGTTCCATGAATTTTTAACATCAGGAAGACAACCCATAAACTTTTCAATCCTCTGGTTCCAGAAGCCTAGAGAATATTCTGCTATAAACACTGAAGCTCCTGATTTGTCTGCTTGCTCTGATGGAGAGCATCTCTGTTCTACACAAAGGTGTCAGCAAAGGTGCCTATGAGTAGAGACCAGTTTTCTCCTTAAAAATGTTTTGAATTTGCTTAAACACTGGGAACAGTGATTGGTTAAGTTCTCAGAATTCTTAACACATAAAGCATAATGAGCCAATACCAAATTGAAATATTTTAGAGCAGGTGTTACCACTAGTGACCTTGATCACAGAAAAGAACCTTCTAAACACCTGATTTGGGGTTAGGCTATATGCTGATGGTCCTGCCCACATAGATTTATGCAAAAAGCATCTATACCCTGTCAAGCAGCTGAACAAGTTGACCTGTTGAGGGAGTTCCTTAGTTCTGTCCAGTTAAACAATGGGGAGTCTGCCAAGCACAGAAATTTTAGATTTAGCAGTTATAAACTATTTTTCCTTTTGCAGTAATTATCCAACAATGTCAGCTACTTCTTAATATAGTCTTTTTTAACAATAAAATCGCATAGTAAAACGGTAACTCTAAACTTTGTATATGTGAATCCCCAGGAAGCTTCAAAATACACCAATTCCTGGGTTCTCCAAGAGATGCTGAATTTAATTCGCCTCACATTCAGACCTGGATTTCCGTGTGTATAAAAACACTCATGATTTTCATATGAAGTCAGGTTTGAAAGCCACTGATAAAGGGCCTTATCTTCTGATTTACCAGTGGCCAAGCATCTGATGAACTTAACAGCTGTGTCAAATAATTAGAAAAATAAGAGTGGTCCACTCTCTAACTCTTGAAAGAACCACTTAAATTCCATAAACCTCAGTTTCCTCTTCTCTAAAATGGGAATAATAATTACATTAGAAGCTAGTTGTGGAGTTTAAATGAAACATATAAGGTTATTAGAACAGTGCCTCGCTTGAGGTAAGCTCCCAACAAAATAGGAGTTCTTGCAAAAAACTGTGTGCAAGACCCTCTTTTGTGCACTCAGGAATGGAGCCCCAAATCCTCTGGGAAAGTCACTTAATTTTCTGATTTTTAGGCTTCTTTATCTGTAAGATGAAGAAAATATTAACCAAATTTGCATGGATTGGTAGGGGAGAGTATGTGAGAATATGTAATAAGTGTCCCCAAGAAGGGGTAGGTATGTTTTTTTTTAAATAAATTTTATTTTTATATTCCCCATACAATTGCAACCCCCTTATTTTGACCCCAATCCCTCCCCTCCCCACCCCCCACCCCCCTTAGAGTGTCTCTGGTTCATAGTTTTTTGTTGATTTTGATTTTCACTTTCTTATAGTTATTCATTTTCCTGGTCCCTTATTTAAGTTTTCTAGATTCCTGCGTTGAGTGAGACCATCTCATATTTTTCTTTTTCTTTTTGGCTTATTTCACTGAGCATGATCCCTTCCAGCGCCATCCATGTTGCTGCAAATTGCATGTGTTTATCTTTTTTGAATGCTGAGTAATATTCCATGGTGTATATGTACCACATCTTCTTGATCCAGTCATCTATTTTTGGGCATTTGGGTTGTTTCCAAAGGTTAGCTATTGTAAACAGTGCTGCTATAAACATAGGGGTGCAGGTGCTCTTTGGAATTGATGTTTCTGTGTCCTTTGGGTAAATACCTAGGAGTGGAATTGCTGGATCATATGGAAGCTCTATGTTTAGTAGGTCCAGAAATCTCCACACAGCTCTCCATAGGGGTTGGACCAGTTTGCACTCCAAAGGGGTAGGTATTTTTACCATAATGATTCAGATTATCTACTCAATTCATCAACAGTACCTTGAAGCATCCTTATCTTTTATAGTGTTTCTGAGATAAAAGGAAGCAACCAAAATTGATGACGTCTACTACCTGGATATCACTGAGCTATTGGTTTTTCAACATCTGTTTTAAATTTCAAAAGAAATGTCCATTTTAAAGGCAAAAGCAGCATTTTCCAGTGGCATTTAATTGTTCCCCAATCTTGAAGTTATAATAACTTGTATTTGATTGAATACAAGTCAGCAAAATCATGGACAACAGTGCTATCCATCAGCATGCCCAATTTACAAAGGTCTAAGAGAGCATAATCCCCTCAAAAAAGAGCCTGAATGCCAAGAAACAGTGTGTCATATTTTAATGACACCATCCTTTGCTCAGATGTTTAAGTAGTGGCAATAATGGAGCTTAGAACTTCTTAATTAGACACGATATTGCAAGACAGAGCATATTAACCCTGGTTTTCATTGATGTCTAGAGTTCTAATAACTACTCTTGATACAGGTAGGATGTGATTCTAATACTAATTATTTACCTAGTTTTCTTGTCTCCCAATGCTCTTATAAAACTCAATAAAAAAGAGAAATCAACATATCTGCAGTCATTTCTGAATTATTCCTGTGGAAAGCAGAATTTTTAAACCACAGTGGTTCATAACGCTTCTGTCTGTTTCAGCACCAAGGACAGGGCTCCACGGGGTTTAATGTCAGCCCATCCTATTAAGTAAAATGTCTTAAATTTTCTGTTCAGATTTTTATTTGGTCACCTAATATAATACTTTTCTGAACACTTCTTATGAGTCAGACTTTGGTATGCTGTCCAAAGACTAACCAATTACAACTCTCAAGCTAGAACTAAGGCAGGAGATGAGTAAGATAGGCAAGGTAAGAAATAATTACATTATGTGACAAGTGGTACTACAGAATTATGTAAAAGTCATGTGGTGTCCAGGGGAGGATGTGGTTAGCTTTAACTGGTAAAGGAAGACTTTACAGAGGAGTTGATGTTTGAACTGGGTACTGAGAATTAAGTGAAGTTGACAATATAGAGAAGAAACTCCATGAAAGAGTACACTGCATTTAGAAATTTCTGGAAATCAGGCCTCCCTGGTGGCGCAGCAGTTGAGCGGTGGGCTGTGAAGCTGCCCACAGCCTCTGCAGCGCTGGTTCAATCCCAGCCACTGGCTAGGGTCCCACATGGCGCACAGACCTCTCCTGCCGCACCCGCTGCTCCCCTCAGCAGTGCACTTCATCAATCTGCCTGTTCTGCTCCCCGCTCTGGCTCTGGTGAATTCTCTCACCCTCCCGTGCTTCTGACTGTACCCAGTGCCTGTATAAATAAATAAATCTTTAAAAAAAAATTCTGGAAATGCAGTTTTATGTGGATAAAAAATGGCAAGAATGGAAGGTGAAGGTACTTGTTAAGGAATAAGCTAAATCAGATCACCAAGTACTTGTGTGTAGAGCTAAGGGGGTTATGTTTTATTCTGGGAAAATTAAGAACTATTGAAGGGTTTTGAGCAGAGATATGATCGGATAAAATTTGTGTTTTCTAAAGATAGTGAGAGAAAGAATGTACTGAAAGTGAAATGAGAGTGACAGACCAGGGTGACTTTTCTCTATAGGGTCCTGGGAATGAGGCACTGCCCCATAATCATCAATGTAAGACAAAGAGAATTTATATGGCCCAGCTCCTATTAGCTATTCATCAATGTTTCACATGTGGTTTATTTCTCTCCAGATTCTTCCAAGAAGATAAAGGATGTCTTCGCTGAATTTAATAAGGGTAGAAACCTCAAACAATATGACCCACAAGAGGTAAGAATAGTTCCATTTCCTGCCTTTTTAAAAATCCATGTATCATCCTTTCCATAACCTTTTTCCCTCTTGGAAGTTTAGCTCACCTTGAAAGTTTGATTTTCTCTTAGTTCTCAAGGGAGCCATTGTACTACCTGGAATTATATATCTCCCATGTCCATTTACTCACTCATTGCTCTACACCTGCTCCTCTGACCTCAAATCTTTTTCCTCTTTCCCTCCTCATGCACACTTACGTGTGTTCTCACATGCCCATTTATTTATACTTTTTCTCCTGTAAGGAGATGATCTCTCCATGCTCTTATGTAAGTCCTTTGCCTACATTTGTGCATTCAATGCCATCCTCTTTGGTCTATTGACAGATATTGTTTCAGCAACACATTTCTATCATTATCTATCTACTGTCTACCTATCTTATCATCTATTTATATCTATCTCCTTCACACCATTTTCCCTCTATATGTTAGATTTTTTATCAATATATAAACATACTCTCATTTTTCTTTTGTTAGAACATGTTCTCCTGATTCCACTTCTCCAATAGCTACCACATCATTTGTCTCCTGTCTTTTTTTTTTTTAAGATTTATTTATTTATTTATTTATTTATTTACACAAGCACTGGGCACAGTCAGAAGCGCGGGAGGGTGAGAGAATTCACCAGAGCCAGAGCGGGGAGCAGAGCAGGCAGAAGGACAGAAGTACACTGCTGAGGGGAGCAGTGGGGGGCAGGAGAGGTCTGCGCACCATGTGGGACCCTCCTCTGGTGGCCGGGGAGCAGCCAGGGATCGAACCGGCGCTGCAGAGGCTGCGGGCAGCTTCGCAACCCAGCGCTCAACTGCTGCACCACCGGGGAGGCCCTGTCTCCTGTCTTTTATAGAAAATATGTGCAAAAGATTTGCCTATACTCATGCTTCCAATTTCTCTCCTTACAATCAACTTGTAACTCCTACTCTTTCAATCAAACCATTAGTCAAGATATCCAGGGACTTCCATATGACTAAATTGAATAACCATTTTACTCAACAGCATTGAACATGTTTGACTAAATCCTCTTCCACTTTCTTTCTTGACATTTTTGCTTAAAAATAAAAAAAAAAACCTCTGAGCTTCTTGATCTTCTGCTTTACAACCTGTTTTTACAGCAGTCTTCCCCATTTTAGTAAATGACAAGTCCATTCTTCAAGTTATTCAGCTTAAAACTATGGAATTGTCATTGACTTTTATATCTCACATCCAATTCATCAGCAAAATCTGCCACTTCTACCTTTGAAATACAGATTCAAAATTTAGCCATCTCATACCACCTACATTGCTACTATCCTAACCAAAAGCACCACCACTTTTTTTCCCCCAGACTATAGCAGTAGTCTCCTAGCTGGGCTCCCTGTTTCTGCTCTTGACATTTAAAGTCTAATCTTCACACATTTCCTGAGAAATCTGGTAAAACTTAAGTTAGATCACATCACTGCTCTGCTTGTTAGTCTCTCAGGGTTTCCTCCACCTCCTACTCATAGTAAAAGTCAAGGTCATTACAGTCTGTACTTCTCCCTACTCTCTGACCTCATCTCTTGCTAGTTCCCTTATCCTCATTCCCTTCCATCAAATTAGTTTCCTGCATGCTATCACACAAGTCAAAGTTGCTCTAACCTCATTGCCTCTACTCTTAGTTTCGCCTCTTCCTGAAATGTTCCTTCCCTAAATATCCACTTTGTTCAGCCCCTCACCTCCATTAAGTGTTTGCTTGCATCACTTCCTCAGTGAATATCACCTTATCTAATAAAATTTTAAACCCTCTTTCTTGACACTTGCTGTCCCCCTGCTCTGCCTTACTTTCCTCCCTAGGACTTCTCACCATCTGTCACACTATGTAACTTACTTATTTAATTGTCTGTCACTCCCACTAGATTATTTTTGTTCACTGCTATATTCCCAGTGCCCAGAAGAGTATCTGGCTCACAACATGCATTCAACAAAAATTTGTTGAATGAAAGATCTTCTCTACTTTCAATTTACCTAAGGCTTCTTGAATATCCAACCATTGTGCTGGCTACTGTAAAATATATAAGGATGAGGAAGCTTATTGCTTTCCCTCAGAACTTGCTTCCTACTGGCAGAGTCAAGTTTAAGAGCCAGACCCTGGAGTCATATGGTTTTGACTCACCTCTTATGGCCAACTAGCAGCGTGACCTTGAATAATATTTCATCTCTTTGGGTCTCAGTTTCCTCAGCTGAAGATAACAACAAGAAAAAGATTTTCCAGTTTGCAAATGAGTGGATACAATGAGATAATTTTAGCAAAGTGTCTAACATTTTACACGACATTTACAAAATGGTACCCATTATTATTCCCTTTCCATTTCTTGTCTCTGCTTCCAACCCCCAGAATGTTTTAAATTCAACTCTCTTTTTCTCTACTCCTTGGTCTTTTTATGAGATAACCTTTCATTGCAGAAAGGTAACTGATCAGCAGGACAAACTTAGGGAGAGACTGACCATTTATTTATTCACGTTGTCATCATTTCAACAAGCTTTGAGTCAACTTCTCTGCTGGGCACTCAGAATGAATCAACAGAGCACATGCTCTCAAGGTAGAAGTACACCTGGTACATTTGGATAAAATGCAGCAATCTCCAGGAGAATAAAACAGGAAGATTGACAGAATAGGAGTGAGATTAAGAATGCACCATTTCAAAGAATATTACTAAGGAGATATCATGCAGAGAAGATGGCAAAGCCAACAAAGAACTGACTGCCCCCTCCCTACACACTCCCCAACCCAGCTCCAAAAACAACGGAACAAATCCTAGCGGGGGCTGCTAATCAGCATGTCGGCCCTGGGGCTGACAAGTGGGAGGGGAACAATTTGGTCAGGGCCTCTGAGAGTGTGAAGGCCACAGGAGCTTTCAGAAGCAGGGAGCAGCTTGGCTGTTATAAACTCACAACCACCCCCGTCTCCATCAGGCTGGCCCCCGCTCTTTGTAAACCTGGCACTGCTGTGTCCCACGGGAGTGCTGTCACTCTGATTTCATTCTCTCTCACAGTGTGGCTGGTTTTTAGTAGGTGTAATGTCCCAGCATGGGGTTAGGAAAACAACAAGGGTTTAATTTCTCTTGAGTTTGATGACTTACTGCTGCTAAAATGTCTCAAAAAATGAGTTAGCTATGGGTAGGAGCCAAGTGCTAGGAAAGCGAGGCTGGGAATAGTTTACAGAGTGACCCGGCTGAATGTAGTCAAAACAAGTACACCCTCAACCTATCAGCACCAGGTGATTGTCTGGAGAGTAGCGAGCAGCTGAAGACCGCCAGAAAGCAGACAAGACTATAGCAGAACAGGAAGGGCAGGGTGACTTGGTGGCACTGTGAGCTTACACTCGACACACCTCAGTACAAATCCCAGTTCTGCCACTTGCTTTAGGACTTTGGGCAAGTTGTTTATGTACACAGATCCTTTTCATGCACCAAGTAGCAGAATAGTCCCAACTCATGCTATTGTGAGATCATTTAAGTGGGAACGCACCCAATGCACTATAGACTCTCAAGTTCTCTTTCTTGACTTATGTAAGAACGAACACACTGTCTTTTAACAGGTTGCAGCAATGGCAATTGCCCAACTAGTTCCTACATGAAAATTGGAGTTTCTGGGAACAACCAGGGCTGAACATGACAATGCCTAGGATATTCTCCAGGCCCCCAAGAATTGCCAGCATGCAGTTCTTAGTGGTTGATTATCTGGTTTGAGCACAGTATCCAGCGCCTCCCTACCCATCACACATTTACTAAGAGCTACTCTGGGCCTGACCTGTGCTCATAAATAATTTACTCTCAGGTAAACCAGATAGCACTTTGAGAGAGGCACAGTCACAGTTCTTTGCCTACTGAACTTGGGGCAATTGGAGGGAGTGGCAGGGACCACTATGTCAGCACTGGGACCTACGGCAGATAGAGGAGCTGGAGCACTGGACAAGGAGTCAGAAAATCTGGCTTCTGGTTTTACTTTGCTGCTGGATAACTGGGACAAATCACTGAACTCATAGAGCCTTATGACAAGAAGAGACCAAATCGGCTTTGGGGCTCTTTTGCAATGCATGCTTTGTGTCTTTAGGCATATTCTATGCCATTCTGTGCCCAGGATAAGGACATAGATGATGGGCATGTGTTCAATCATTTTTTTCTAAGTTCTCATAACACTTTGTCAGTTATTTTCCTATGGTATCTACCACTGTTGACCCTGTATTGGAATTTCATTTCATTACATTTGCTGAATCTCCTGAAAGTAGGGACCCAAGTGCAATTCACTGGTTTAGTGCCCAGTGCTGTGTTTTAAACCTAGGAGGCTCATATATTTGATTGAACAGGTCACAGTAATGGATACCACCTTCAAGAAGAGAGGATGGAATGCTGCAAAGAAACCAGAGGTAACAAAGTCTAAAAGGAGGCTATTGGAATTGTCAGCATCAAAAGAGGAGAGCTACAGGTGATGGGCTAGAATACAAAGTGAATATGATAAGGAGGTGAGGAGATGAATGGTCTGTTCTGAGAGAGCTGAAGGGGAAGGAAGAAGGACAGGCTAGAGGCTCGAGCAGCCAGCAGTTTCTCAGGAACAATCACCTTGAACATGTGCGTAGGTAGAGAAGCAGATGCTGGCAGATACCATGAGAAGCAGGGAGGGTGGACTCAAGGGTCATAGTGGGTGAGTTCCATTTGGAAAGCAAGAGGAAAAGATTTTGTTTTGTGTACTGGGAAAAGGGTAGGATGTATGAAGAAGAAACATTGGGGTTTGAGGCTGTAGAGACCAAGAGGGACAGAATGAGTATAAAATAGAAAGACACAGAAACTCAGGGACAATCACAAGAAATGTGAGTCCACTTTGCTTCAAGATCCCTTCATGTGGTAAAACATCTCATTATCTTCTACCCAACTGAACCAGACTTCCTCCGCTCTGCAAAGGAGACAGAACACCCAGCCTGGGACGAAGGAGAACCTGCCTTGTGAGCCAACTGCTGGGTTCAGAGGGCATCTATTTTGTATCCCCAACCTTATTGGACACAGGCAAACCAGCAATCTGGAAAGCCTGCCTGATTGTCCAGGCGAAACAGGGGGTTAAATGTTAACATTTTATTTTTTTTTAAGATTTATTTATTTATGCATACAAGAGCTGGGGTATAGGCCAGAGATGTGGGGGGGTGAGAGGATTCACCAGAGACAGAGTGGGAAACAGAACAGGTAGACTGACTGAAATACACTGCTGAGGGGAGCAGTGGGTGAGACAGGAGAGGTCTGCAGCGCCATGTGTGTTGCTCCCTGGCCGGCAGGGGATCGAACTCATGCTGCAGAGTCTGCAGACTGCTTTATAGTGCGGTGCTTAACCCTTTGCACCACCAGGGAGGCCTGTTGTTAACATTTTAGAGGGAGAACTAAGTAGGCTCCCAGAAAGGGGTTTTTATTCTCATGGCTGTTATTATTCACAAAAGCCTGCACAGCAGATCTTGGAGTTGTGCTTCCTCAAGTGATTTCCAGGAGCATCTGCCGATTTGATGAAGAATCTGATTCCATCAAAACACAAGCCAGTGATGACTCACTGCAAACTGTTGTTGTTGTTGAGTGTTTGCTGAGTGCAGCAGCTCTTTCTGGCATGGTCGCTGCCAGGCTGGGACCAGAAGCCAGGCAGGACTTGGAGAGAGAACAGCGAGAGGTTCTGCTGTGGCATATTTCTTACTTCTACCTTCTGTCCTTGGCTTCCTACTCTTCTCCTGTTGCCTAAAATCTTCACAAGGACATGTTTCTGAGAACTGCTGAGCCAGACACATTACCTACCCCCCGCCCCCCATGCTCTTGAGGTTTGTCCAGGGAAGGTCGATTATGAAAAGTAAAAAAGGAAGAAGCCATCCTCTTTACTTCCAGATCTTTCCTAAGACCCAAATCCTCAGGAATTGCATCCCTCGAGGCACAAGAAGAAAATTGAAATCCCACAGAAGAGCCATTTCTTTCCCTCATGTTTTTAACTATATCTTTCTTCATCTTCGAAGGCAAGTCTAGCACACAGTCGTGGACTCAGGCAGAGCCCTTTGCTGTGGCCCCCACCCCCAGTACTTACTCTCCCAAACCATGGACTAAATTCAGACACTAAGCCCAACAGGGGACCATCAGTGCTTTCTTTCTTAAATCTCCTCCCCACTCCCTGTGCCTGTCCATCTCTGTCACTTAACTGTCCTTTTTCATTTCCGCCCCCACCAATCACTCCCCTTCCTTGGGTTTCTCTTTGTGTTTCTCTCCTGCCAGCCTACCAGTTCTGCTTCCATCTGTTCCTGTCTTTGTCCCTTGACATTTCTCCACTGATTTTCCCTTTTGTCCCTTTTCAGCCAATTAGCTACGATGTCTTCAAGCTGTTCATGAGGTCATACCTGGAGGTGGACCTTCCTCAGCCACTGAGCACACATCTCTTCCTGGCCTTTAGCCAGAGGCCCCGGTGGGATACCCCTGACCTTCCTAAGGAAGGGGCCAGCAGCAGTGAGGCCAGTAGCCCAGGTATGTAGACCAATATACCCCAAGATGAAAGGGAATTTTGGAACTCTTACCCCTGGCTGCAAGTATAGGCTGCACGCCTAGAGGCGCCCCTCTGGGTGGGAATGGTGACAGGGGACCAGGCTTCCTTTCCTCAATACCGCACAGCAGGTCTGATGGATGTCTTAGCAAGAGGAATAAAGAGAGGCATAAGTCCTGACACTCACAATAGGAGGAAGATGGGGGATGAGGAGGCTTAAGCTAATGTGTGGCGGGGAAGAGAGCCTTCACAAAGGCTTCCAGTCTGTGGACGAAGCACACTCAGGGTGTGTGCCCCATGGGACTAGCCTGGGAGTATAGAGGAAGGGCGAAATATGGTCACAGTCTTTTGGCAGCGTGAGTTATAACGGGGAGATGCAGACAAACCCAGTAAGTCAGTATGAGCCCAGCTGACAGTAACCCAGAGACAGACACATCTAGTGGGAAGGTCCCCTACCTGCCCCTCTAAGATGCTGATCTTTACATCTTATCTTTGTTTACCAGAGTCCAACTTACAGAATGTGGATAATGCTGCCAAAGCAGATGAGGCCTGTGCCCCTGATACAGGTAAGTCTTTGCAATACAAGCTTTGGGGAAGGAGTGGAAAATATCTAAGAGTAGAAAACCTAATGAACAGTTTTATCTCCATATGATCATGAAGCTAGAGGAAAGCTTGAACATTTTAAGTGTGGATATGAAAAACAAAAAATATCAAGTGTCAAGAGATGATGTGTGACATGAAAAATGTACTGAATGGTATTGATAGTATATCAGACATGGCAGAAGAAAAATGAACTTGAAACTATCTCAAATGATAGTTTACACATGGAGGTAAAAAGAAGACTAGGTAAAGAAAGATCATCATATCAGTGAACTGTGGGTATCTTAAAAGAGTAAGGGAGGCAGTACTGGAAAAAATTTAAGAAATAATGACTGAAACTTACCCAAATTTGTTTATGTTTGATAAAAATTGTAGAAAGTCAGATCCAAAATGCTCAATGAACCCAGAATATGTGAAACATAAATAAAACTACAGCAAGAAACATTATAATCAAATTGATTAAAATCAATGATAAAAAGACAATCATAAAAGTAGCTAGAGAAAAAAGACAGCTGATGTACAGAGAAACAAAGTTAAGAATTATTGCAATATTCTTATTGCAAAGCAGGCTAGAAACCAGTAAACATATTTAAAATACTGAAAGAAAACAAAAACTGCCAACTTAGAACTAATTACTTAGTGAAGTATCGTTTAACAAAAGGCAAAGTGTAGAATTTTTCAAATACACAAAATCATATAGAGGTGTACTAGAATAAACAAAAAAAAATCATCTTAGAATGATACCATATAGAAACCTGGATCTGCATACAAAAATAAAGAACATGGAAACTGGTAATCATATGGATAAATATAAAAATGTTTTTATCAGTTAAATTTCTTTAAAAGATAATTAGTTATTGAAGCAAAAACAATAATACATTGTATAATATGGCTTATAATACTATATATAATAGAAGTAATATGTCACAACAAATGCACAACGGTCTGGATAGGATAAATAGAGGTTCATTGTAAATTTTGTACAATATTTGCAAAGTGGAATAACATTACTTGAAATTATACTGTGATAAGTTAAAATAACCACTAAATACAGCAGTTATAGTTAAAGGATATAAAATAAAACCATATTAATATACTAAATTAATTGAAAAGGAGGCAGAAAAATAGAATGGGAAAAAAGATGGGATAAAATAAATACAAAGAGAGTAGTTTAAAATCTATACTTATCAGTTGTCACAGTAAGCAGAATTGTTCTAAAACTCTAAAATGTGGAGATTGTTGGATTGGATTTAAAAAAGGAAGACCCAATGGTATGCTTTAAAGAAAGTTTAAATATATATAGTTTATATACTATTAAAAGTGAAAGAATGGAAAAAGATATACCTTGGTAACACTAATCAACTAGAGTGGCTATGTTGATTATGAATGTAATTACAATAAAATAAACAAAGGAAAAATATCAAATATACAGATTATTTCCTAACAATTAGAGTTTGATTTATTAAGAGAATATAATAATCCTAAACATTTATGCATTTAATAATAGAGCTTCAAATTACATGAAGCAAAATCTAAGGAAATTGCAAGAAGAAGCCAACAGATCCCCAACTTTAACTGGAGAGTTTGACACCTCTTTCTCAATAATTAATAGAACAAGGAGACAGAAAATCAATAAGGATATAGATGACTTGAACAGTCTATCAATCAACTTTACCCAATTGACCTTTATAGGACAGTTCATCTAACAGCAGAATAAATATCCTTTTCAAGTAGTCATGGAATATTTACTAAGACAGACCACTTGCTGGATTATAAAGTCAGTCTCAATAAGTTTAAAAGATTCAAATCATGCAAACTGTGTTCTCTGTCTGCAATGGAATTATTGAAAGCCAATAACAGATATCTGTAAAATCCCCAAACATTTTCAAACTAAGTAATACACCTCTAAATAACCTGGGGGTGAAAGGGGAAAGCATAGATTGTTTTGAAATAACTGTAAATGAAAACACAATATATCAAAATTAGAACTAACCACCTATATTAGAAAAGTAAAAACTCTGAAATCAATGATCTTTGTCTCCATCTTAAGAAACTAGAAAAGTAGCAAATTAATGTAAGTAGAATAAAAAATGTAATAAAAATCAGAGAGGAAATAAATGGAATAGAAAACAGAAAAACAATAGAGAAACCAATAAAACCAAAATTGGTTCTTTGAGAAGATCACTGAAACTAATAAACCTCTAGCCAGACTAACCAAGAGAAAAATAAGAAAAGACACTAATACCAACACTAAGAGTGGAAAAAGCTGACACTATTATAGATTCAAGAGATATTGAAAGGTTAATAAGGAAATCCTATAAATAACTATGTCAATAAATTAGATGACTTAGATTAAATGGGTCAATCTTTTAACTTTGTTAGGCAGGACAGAGGATCATGGAATCTCAGGCTAATTCTGTACAACTATCAAGGCAAACCCTTCTCAGTACTCTCCCAGGATTCATGAATTAGGAGTGAGCTCTACACTGACTGGTGTGAATAGACACTATCCCTGGTTCTCTGTGCGTCCCAGGCATTGCTCCTTCTACTTGTGATTTTTCTTCCTGTCTCAGGTATTTTCTTGACACGTGTGTCAAGAAACTGAATAATTGCGGGAACTCTCTGCTGATTGCGTAAAGGGAGACTTCTGCAGATCTCTGGCGTTCACTCACTGAGTAGCTTCCTTCTCCTTGGTGCGCTTCTGTGAATTTGATGCACCTTGGCCTTTCTAGACTCCCAGTTCTAGCTCCTCAACTCAGAGAGACTACCAGAACCAGCCAGGGTTTCCCCTGCCTGTGTTATAGTCTAAAAATGCTTTCCAGTTAGTGAGGTGTGACATTTGTAGGTATCATATCATTGCTTCCCTTCTCTCAGGACCACAATTTGGTGCTGGCTACATTCAGTGCCCTATAAACCATTTTTTCATATCTTTTGTCCATGTTTTAGTAGTTTCAGATGGGAGGGTATGTCTTCCATCTGAATTTTTACTAAATCCCTATTTAATCAAAATAAAAATAATTATTGTAATAAATAATCTGATGGCATAATAGTAACTCGGGGTATAATAAGGTACACAGTATAAAGGACTCCTCATACTTCTATCTTGTAAAATTATACTTTTTTATTATTTTTCCTCTCAGTGATGATCTTAATATTCCTCCTGTATATGTAATTTCATTGTAATTTCCCTGCATCTCATTGTCCTTGTTTTTATCTCATCCTATTGTATTTTCATCACAACTTGCTCATCTATAAGATTGTCTGCTCCTGTCTAATAGAGATTTTATCTTCCTTTTTTTTTTTCTGATTTGTGCAGTGTGCACCTTTTATCACTTTAAAATATTATCTCAAGACCAGTAAGTGGAACAAACATTCCTGGGCCTTTTTATTTATTTATTTATTTTTTAAAGCTTTTTTTTTTTTTAAGATTTATTTATTTATTTATACAAGCACTGGGTACAGTCAGAAGCGCGGGAGGGTGAGAGGATTTGCCAGAGCCAGAGTGGGGAGCAGAGCAGGCAGAAGGACCGAAGTACACTGCTGAGGGGAGCAGTGGGCAGCAGGAGAGGTCTGCGCGCCATGTGGGACCCTCCTCCAGTGGCCGGGGAGCAGCCGGGGATCAAACCAGTGCCACAGAGGCTGCAGGCAGCTTCGCAACCCAGCACTCAACTGTTGCGCCACCGGGGAGGCCCGCCTGGGCCTTTTTAAATTACCAAAAAAAAAAAAAAATGCTCTGCGCTAATCCAGGTTCTAGCAAGACCAGCCAGCCTGGTCACAGAGTGGGGAGGAGGCAGAGGGAGCACCCATGGGCAGGTGGCAGCTGTTCTCCAAGAGAACACAGGAGAAAGAAGAGGGGCCTCCCAGATGGAAAAGAACTGGCTGTTCTAGTGGAAAGAGTTCAAAAGGCAAAAAGGGAGGATTTGGGAGGCAGGAGAGGTCCCAGTGCTGAAAGGGGTTCAGTGTCTTGGAGAACCAGTGACTCATGAGCCCTAGCATAACAAGCTCCACCTGAATCACAGGTGACAGCTGCCTATTCCACTGCAAACCCCCTTTTCTAGTGCCTGCCTGACTTTTCAGGCAGCTACTTGAACTTCCCAGCAATATCCTGCAACCCTACCACCCAAGTGCAAGGGCCGGGGCAGCTAGGGAACAGTAGGGTGGTTAGTGGGTTTGGGAAGGCAAGTGGTCCAGCTGCTGCCCGTGTTAAAAATACAAACAAAAAGAAAATCAACATTAGATTGAAATAATCACAAAGTAAAAATAGATCCTCAAACATTCCATCACCTGGAGGCCAGCAGGGTGAAGCAGGTACCCTTGCATTTGTAGGACAGTGAGCACGCTCCAGCTGAGTGTTATGGCTTCCAACCCGCAAGCTACTTCCCGTATCTCTGGGCTCTGTGACAATGTCAGTGACAAACTTCTACTATAGCAGGCCACATTGTCCAGCACTGCACTGTTGATGGGCTGATCTTTAGCATTGAGGTCAGTTGGCATGTTCCACCAGATGAGGTTCTAAAGGCCTCCGGGGCGAGAGCAATGATGCTACTGTCAAGGGGCGGAGACTGAGGTGCCCACATCATTGAGACTCAGGTGGCCACGTCAATGAGACTCAGTGCACTTCTGCTGTAGGTGGCGGTTATGATCTGCTTCTTGCTCTGGTTACCACTGCTGAAGATGGTGGCCACTGTGGACAAGGAGGCTGGAAGTTACATTTCCCAGCAACCCACTGATGGTCTTGTCCAGTAAGAAATTATTTTTAAAAAAATCTGGTCCTCTAAGACTTTAGAATGATGCTTGCTTTCCTTGGTTGGCAATTCTGTTTCTTAGGCTCCATCGTGGTTACTCCATACAGAGTAATGTACAGAGTACGGCAGTAACCTCTGCTCTCTCCTGATGCTTAACTCCCTCTCAGCCACAAGCTACCCCCAGGACCTAGTTGACTTTTATCTAGCACAGCACAGCTGATCTGAGCTGGAGCATTCGCTCCCTTTGTTGGGCACTTGGGTTCTCTGAATAGAGCATACTGGCAGCATTGCCATCCCCTGCAGATATCAGTGGCAAGACTGCCTGTCCTCTGCCTGTGTCCTCAGCACACTTTTACTTGGTGGTCTTACACACCTCAGCTGGATTTTCTACTGCGAGTCTTCCTTTTACTTCTTCTGTGGTTTTGTGTATGTGTGAATTGTACAATCTTACTGGATATTAAGAAATTATTTCTGATGGACACAGATACAGAGAGCTGGGGAAGAGTAAACTTAAAGTACTTTAATATAACTCACAGTAAGTATAGGTGTCTGGTTTTCTGGCTAGTAATAACCTTATATTTTTGAATTAAAAGACAAGCAACATGGGAGAGGCAGATAGTTCTCCTACCCACAAGAAGGAAAATTTCAGAAGGAAATCTTACTCTGTTCCTATGGTACAATAAGCTTCTTTGAATTTTCCTACTCTAACCAGTTAGAGTTAGATAAAATTCTTCCTGTTTTCTGTAAATTAGTTGATTGTCAATTCATTTTCTCTTTTAAATATTCATCTTTCTATTAAGTGTATTTCAGAAGAAAACTGTGAAATGCATGTTGTTAAATAACCAGTAATCTGGATTTTGGGATCCCAGTCAAAATTACCTCTACAAATTGCGTGTGCTCCCCCAAAATTGAGCTAAATGACATTTACCTGTTGAGTTGATATTACTAAAAGTCACTCATCTTTTCTGAAAATTCAGAGTATAAGTTAATTTCCTATAAGGATATAAACTCTTTAAAATGTCAGAATGGAGTCCATACAGGGTATGAACACACACTGGGATTCCAGGGCTACTGATTTGATCATACCTATGTAACCAAAGCTTCTGAAGACATAAAATCCCTGTCTCCGCCATGGGAAAAATAGTGCAAGAAAAAAGGTTTAATATTTGCTAAGCATTAAGTGTCCTTGAAAACTTTCTTGTTGTCTATCACAGAACCAAAGATCACCGAGAAGCAAGTACCAACTAAAGACCAAGTGTCTGCGACCCCCTCGGGAAGCACTGTTGCTGGATCTTCAGGCTCTGGGTCCCCCATAGTGTACCTGAAGGATGTTGTGTGTTACCTGTCCCTGCTGGAGACAGGGAGACCTCAGGATAAGCTAGAATGTAAGTACCACCCTGTGTAAGGGTCTTTCACTTTTCTCTGGAGGAAGGTCTGTGTCCTGGGCATCACTGTAAACAGGCTGGAGACCAATGTGGGGTCAGGGGCACAAGTTCTGTTTCCTTGGCAGAGCTTTTCTGTCCTATCACCAAGAGTGCTATGAACATTTTCTAGAATCTACACTAGGAAATGCACCTGAGACCTTGGCATCAAGGACCAGGTTTGAAAAGGGAAGTGGTTTCTGCAGGGGGTGACGATGCCCTTCCTTTGCTGGTGGGACGTTCTGGAAGCCCCCAGTCAGAAAGCTGCTACCTCCAATTCAATTTTTTGGGGGGAAAGCTATTTAGTTCCTCTCTTCCTTCCTGGAACCCATGCCCAAGCAACTAACACTAAGGAATTCTTAAGATCTAACCAACCTCTATCTTATTAAAGCTTATTTCCATTTCTCCACCCCAAGTTTGTGTCCCTAGAGAAAGAGGGCTAGTCAATGGAAGGAGGTGAACTATGTCCCACTGTGCTCCTAAAGCCACTTCAAAACATGCCTTCAGAAGGGGGGTACTAGGTGGTGGTGGAAGGGGAAGCCCACAGGGCCTGAGACAACCTGTGGTTTGTGAACAACTCCCTCCACAAGTTGCATTTCCTGAATTTCCCAGGGTAGCTTCTAGAAAACATTCATAGCACTCTTGGTGATGGGACAGAAAAGTTCTGCCAAGGGAATAGGACCTGTACCTCTGGCCTCTATGAGACTACAAGAAAATTTTCTAAAAGAGATAACGGGAACTTGTGAAAAAAAAAAAATGTATTGTTTGACTTCTCTTGGGGCCTTAGTAGATATTAAGGGAAAAACACACACACTATAGCAAAAATCAAAATTCCAGTTCATAATAAGATTAGTTAACACAACTTAAACCTTAGGAAGGAAAAGCCTGGCAAAGGTTAACCCTTGCCAAAAACAAAAGGAAACAGTTTGCTCATTAACTGAATTTACAATCTACCACATACGTTTGAGGTGTTAACAATTGCAAGTTTAAGTGCTAATTTGGAAGCAAATGCAGCAGATTTCTGTTTCTACTGGCTAATGTTAAAAGTCAAATATCAAATTAAAGTGTTGTTCAAAACCACAAATGTCAAATTACTTCCAACATTCAGCTAGATTTTGAGTAAGTTTTCTATTTGTTCACAACAACTCTCCAGGATGTGGCAGTTTCTTCATATCAAGCTAGGTCTTTTAGTGGCAATAAAATTAAACTGCATTTTAGAAAAATTTTTATTATAGAAAATTTCAAACATACATAGAAGTGGAAAGTTCCCTGAACTTCCATGTGCCTGTTAGCAAGCTAGGTGGTTCACCCATTGGGTGGTTCATCTTGTTTTATTTTTATCTCCTCCTTATTCTTGCTGGCCCAGATTTTTTTGATGCAAATTCCAAATATTGTATCATTTCCTCTGTAAATATTTCAGCAGATACCTCTACAATACAGACTCTTTCTTAGATTTAATCACAACACCATTATCAATTTTAAAGAAGATGACCTATAACTACTATAAAATATTCAGTCACTATTCATATTTTCCCAATTTTCTTACATATATTTATATAAGCTAATTTTACATAATTTGTTTGAATAGCCACACATTACATTGATAATTAAGTCCAGTCTCCTTTAATTATTTGGTTCTCTCTCCATCTTTTTTCTTGCAAAAAAGATGTAGAAACTTGGTCATTTGTCCCATACAGTTTTCATCTTGTTATTTTTTTTCCAGCTAAACCAAATAAATCCAAATCTTCTGATTTTAATGATTAATTTATTAAAAGTTAACTTTTTCTTTTTGATAAGCAAATATGAGTCTTTTGGAAACAATAGATGCCATCCCACCTATCACCAATGCAATAATAGCATTAACTCCCACAATGGAACACCTTATATTTGCTCAGCATTTTAAATGCATATCTCATGTTATCTTGACAATGATCCTAGAAGAATGATATGATTATTCTATTTTACATGTAAGAAAGAGCAGAAAGATTAAATAGCTTGTCTAAGACCACAACTCTTAAAAATAGGATATCTACTCAGACTGTCTAGTTCAGCTCTTCATACCCAGTAGGACCACAACTCTGCATCAAAGAATCTCCCAGGCCCACGGTTCTGCAGCAGTGCTGATGAGATGTCTGTCCTTCTTCCATCGTCCAGCCATCTGTTAAGTGAGTCATCCTCATGTTGAGGGTGCCTCTGGCCAAATATGCTGAGGAGTGAACAAGAATCACAAGCTTTTGACCCTACTTTTATTCAGTGATTTACCACTGAACAAACACAACATGATGAAATGTTAAAATTTCTAGAAGGATGTAAAAATACAAGGGCAACTTAGCAGGGTGTGTGCTGAGCCCCAAAGGGTCTCCACAGAGATGCAGATGTGATGACGAGTTTTCAAGGAGAGGAAGATGAAAAACATGTTTAGCTCCACTCCCCATCCTGTCTACAATGAGACCGCAGCTAGGATCTCTATTTTTATTTGAATGAAAGTTTTCAGGTGCCGTAAGTGTACATTTAGCCCTTTGCTCAAATTTCTCTCCCAGATCTGCCTTATCCTACTTCACCTCTCCACAATTAGAACACAATATAGGCTGTTTCTGAATACCATATTGATAGTTTAGAAAAAGAAATACTACTATAATAGTAACTACTTCATGGCATTAAAGATTAAATAAGTAATAATGTTAAAGTGAGGATTAAATAAGTAATAATGCTAAGGCATATGTATTAAGTGCCATATGTAAATGTTCTTTAATGAAAGAAAATAACATCTGTTGAGTGCTTTCCACTTTCTAAGCACTGCAGATTTGGCTTTTCATTTATATAGTTATCCTCACCTGACAAACCTAGAGAAAGACATTATTATAATCTCCATCTTACAGATAAAGAAACTAAGTGCCAAGAAGTTAAAAGACTTGTTTGACAGACTAGTTTTGTTAGGGCCAAGAGTTGCATTCACCAACTCCATGATCTTTCCACACCCACTGGAAACAATGGCCCCTCTAGGGCATTAGTTGGGTTCCAGCGATGCTGAGTGATGTGAATCTACAGAGACCCACACTTGAGTTATGGAGCTCATTGGGCACAGGATTACTCATAGGCCTGGAAGCACTTGGTTCTCCTCCCTCTTCCCACTCTCTAGGACAATCAGACTGCACTGGAGGGTAAGTGAGCTGCTGTAAAACCTTTACCCAGTGATGGTCAGAATTGATCTACAAACTGGTAGCATCAAAGTGGCCGCCCATCTGTGTTGCCTAGAGGACATCTCAACCCTCACCTCTGTGTTTCTTACAGTCATGTTTCATCTCTATGATTCGGATGAGAAAGGCCTCCTGGACCAAGCGGTAAGCTCTCGCTTCAAATATCCCTCCTGGGTCCACAAAAGGCTTGGGGAGAAGAAAACAGGTGGAGGAAAGGTCTGAAAACTCTTAGCTCCATCTTTATAGGAATAGCCATGTCTCAATATGGACTGCAGAAATCCAAGTAGAACCCACCTCCCTCTTCTGCTTCCAAAGAATCAGTCTGGAGGAGAGTGCATTACAACTTGCCTTTCATCCCAGAAGCCAGAATCAAACATTCTCAGAATGGGGTCCTCCCTGCTGGTACAGGGGTTAAGTCTCAGGACTATCAAGCTATCACCAGCCACTAGGACCTGATTTCAATTCCTGGCCAGGGAGCTAACCCACATGGTGCAGCAGACCTCTCCTTTTTCACCTGCTGCTCCCCTCAGCAGTGTATTTCAGTAGGTCTGCCTGTTCTGTTCCCCACTCTGTCTCTGGTGAATCTTCTCACCCTCTGCACCTCTGGCCTACACTCTAGTTCTTGTATGCATAAATAAATATAAATCTTAAAAAAAAGAAAAAGAATTCTCAGAATGGGGGGAGCTTTAGTAGCTTAGCTTGTTTAACTTTCCAATTAGTTCAGAAATTCCTTTTGCAATTTCCTCCTGGAGAACAGAGGCGAAAGGGAAGAAGGGAGTGGGGGAGAAAGCACAACCCAGGTAAGAGAGCAGAAGGAAGGCAGGTAGCTGCTAGTGTTCTTTGGCACCACTCATACCTAGGGGCACTCGCTCTAGAAGCCTGGTTCTGTCTGCTCTGAGCACATGATCCCATCCCATTGTACCTGGTAAAGCCTAAGACTCACCCCCACTCACACACCGCCCACCCCTCACTGAGGAATAAGCAGGAATTGGCCAGGGATCAGAAAGTGAGAAGGATGGGAAAGGAAGAAAGCAGAGAGAGGAGAAGCAAATAGAGACAGACAAGTCTTGTCCTTGTGAAAGGCCAGGTTAGAGGTGGGACTTATTTTTTTTTTAAAGGTTTATTTATTTAGGCACACAAGAACTGAGATACAGGCCAGAGGTGTGGGGGGGTGAGAGGATTTACCAGAGACAGAGCGGGGAACAGAACAAGCAGACTGACCGAAATATACTGCTGAGGGGAGCAGCAGGCTACACAGGAGAGGTCTGCTGCGCCATGAGGGTCACCTCCCTGGCCGGGGATCGAACTCGTGCTGCAGTGGCTGTGGAGACCACTTGAGCCACCAAGAGGCCCCTAGAGGTGGGACTTATTAACAGAAAGGCTCTGAGGTTGAAGGGCTTGAGACTGAGTCAGACCAGCAGGAGAGAGAAGGAAGAGAATAAATAAGTCCCCTGGACCAACAAAACCACCCCAATTGCATCTAAACCTTAGGGTACCTTTTTGGATCCACACAACTGCATTGCTTGGCTGGGGATTGGGTTGTGTGAGAGAACAACCAGAGAATCACAGAACTTTCAAGCATTTGGTCCACATATATTTATTGAGAATCTATCAAATGTCAGGCACTATTCTAAGCACAAGGGCTACATCAATGAAGTCAAGGAACAAAGCTTTCATGAAGCTTTCATCTTAATGAAAGCACACACACTAGGAAGCATAGTAAATATGTGTTAGGTAGTGTTGTGTGTTAGAAGAAAAATGAGGGAAAGGAAGTGTTGGGGGGAGCTGCAGTGTTAGCTAAAGGAACCGGGGAAGGTCTCCCTGGTGAGGGGACATCTGAACAGACTTGCAGATGAGGGAGTGAGTCACAGGGCTATCTAGGGGAAGTGATGGGGGATTGCAAATATTATCAAGTCTGCTAGGTGATTCAAAGGATTTATCTTTTACTCTGAAGAAAGGGAGAACCATTAGATTTCCAGCAGAGGGGTAACATGACTGATTGATGTTTTAGCAGGCTCACTCTAGCTGTTGAGTCTGGATTGTAGGGATGCAGACAGGGATGCCAGCGAGGAGGCCATTGTAATCAGCAGGACAAGAAATGATTGTGACTACACCAGGGCAGGAGCATTGTAGTTGGTAGGGAAGCAGTTCATTTCCAGGTATAGGACTAAATGAAGTGAGAAGTAGTCTTAAAAGATTTATCAGGTTTAAGTTCCCACCTAGAATCCCTGGCAGGTAGATTTCCAGCATCTCTGTGAGCACTCCCTATAATGGAGAGTTCACTCACTGCCCTAAGACAACCACCACATTCCTGGGGTTGGCTGTCAGAAAGGACTTTCTTCCTGCATAGAAGGCACCGCTAGTCTGCTAGGAAAACAGAAAACTTGACCCCAAACCCAACATCAAGGCCAAAATGGGCCAACCCTCCACTAACTCCACACTTCCCTACATCCCTTGGCTCAGTACTGCTGTGTCAAGTTGCCCAATACAGCTGACCAGTGGAATACAGACTCTATACATAGGTTGTCCAGGATTTAAAGGTGCTATCGCGCTTCCCCTAAAACCTCTAAGATCAAATTTCCCAATTTCTACACTGTTTCTCATGAGGAAATCTGTAATATCCATTTTGGTCAATGCCACTTTTGAACTCTGGCACAGAATGAAGCTACCCCTCCATGACACTAACTATCCACATGTGGCCTGACCCAGCCATACATCAAGGAAACACTCTGAAATCTACCCTCTCTCTCTGCTTCCATTTACCCAGCCCGAGACTGAGCCTGATTCTCAGTTTCTGGATCACATTGTTTTCTCATTGACTGAATCTTCTATACAACTTGATTCACAGCCTCTTTCCCACTGGAATTTCTGCCAAGTCCCTTACCCCCATCTATAGGTCTATCCTGAAGTTTTGCAATGGATTCATTTTTAATTTAAATGAGGTACAATTTTAGATCCCTGTAGGGTTTTATCTTGCTTGTTTTGACCCAGTATTCTACCTGAAAGAGGTCACACTTTTGAATCTGGCTTCAGTTTCTCAGTGTGTCTCCCCAGATCAATCTTACTATGAACATCTTAAATAGCACCCAAGTAATGCAAATACCTTCCTAGTCCAGCGTGTTTCAGTGGGACTCTCAGTGCACTGATTCATTAGCCTCTAACAACTCTGAGGTTTCAGATGGAGCCTGGCTTTGCTACCAAACAAAAGGCTCACTCATCAGGAAAATGTACCCCTCATTAATTTCCCGTTCACAGAGTCCTGGGCTCAGGGCTGGATGTGGGACAAAGGAAACAGAGATGCCAAAAAGAAAATAAATCACAGTGTCTGGGCTAGACCAACACAGTGACCCCATATCCAACCAAAGTCGACCCCCAGGGGAATAGATGGACTGCAAGTTGCTAAAGCTGTGGGAATGAGGAATGGTTAAGGGGTGAGGAGAGAATTGCCTGGGTTTATAAGTATCTGTGGAAGCTCAAGAAGGAGAAAACAGGAGTGTGTGCTCTACTTCCTGTGTCAAAGCACAGAATAGAGGATAGGGCCAGGAAGAGGTTAGCTAGCAGTGGGCATTCTGCACACCTCTGACTTATTCATGACCTGTGCCTTGTGTAAGCATCTAGTCTCCACTGAGCTATGTGGTGAAGGCAGAAATAGCAGAAACAAATGGTGAGTCCTCGTGATATACAAGTGTTTGGCACTGACTCCTTCCCATGTACTACCCTGTCCATCTCCCCACAGGGTTTGATTTAGAGTTTTGCTCTTGCAAACACATCTTCAGATGGTCTCTCCCCTTGATGTTTCTAGGCGACGGATCGTATTATCAACCAAATGCTGCACATTGCCCAGTATCTGGAGTGGGATCCCACGGAGCTAAGGCCTGTGAGTTTCCAGAAGCACGGGTGAACGCCAAGTGAGCTTCCGAGATAAGAGTGGGACACACTAGGGCTGGATACAAATATTTATGGTGCAGACTCTCCAAGACTCATCTTCTTGATCTGCCACTTCTCTGACAGGAAAAATTATAGGCAGTAGGGAAAAGTATAGACAACATTCAAGTAATTCCACCTGACTTTTTCATCGGGACTAAATTTTCTATAACAGGGGTTCATGGATCAAAGAATTTAGGCCTAGAAATAACTTTAACATGTTGTGTCAAAACACCAGATAATATTAATACCTAGGGCTCCTGTGAGTCAGCTGTTCCTTTAGACATTTTAGATGCTAATCCTCATTGCAGTGCTGCAGAGACAGCAATATTTCTGCTTTACAGATGAGCAGAGCAGAACCAGAGAGCCAGAGTGGCTTGTTCCAGTCCACACAGTCAGGTTGGGCAGAGCCAGACCTGGAATCCAGTCGTCACTTGCTCCCTCACTGCTCTACTCACACAGAATGTGGGAGGAAGGGGTATAACACAAACCAGACAATGCAGAACAGGAGGAATGCAGAGGAAGAAGAAGACGACAGAGAAGTCGAGAATGAAAGCACACAATTGTTGCTCTTTGGATCCCACAGATACTGAAGGAGATGCTGCAAGGGATGGACTACGACCACGATGGCTCTGTGTCCCTGGAGGAGTGGGTGCACGGAGGGATGACCACCATCCCCCTGCTGGTCCTCCTGGGCATGGATGATACTGTAAGTCAGCCACGTGGGGTTGAGATCTCTTACCTTTCAGGACCATCCAGCTCCATGTGGCTTGGCTTCTGCCCTGGGCTTCCTGGTGGGCAGAGCAGGTACTCTGAAATATATTTATTCATCTACCAGACGTTTACTTAATGACTGCTAAATCGAGATACTTTTTGTGGCACTGTGAGGGGACACAGATACAATATTCACCTGCCAGAAGTTTAGGCAAAGGGAAAAATAATTCAAGGAGAGATTGTATCTTTTCCAAAAATTAAGTTTAAAAATGTTAAGAGATATTTTTGAGGGAAGAAAATAGGAGAAAAAGTACTGATCTGTTGTGAGGTGAAGAATAGTTAACAATGATGTTTTATTTTTTCAACAATCAAAACTCTCAATTCCCCATCTCACCTGCAGTTTAGACAGATGGAATGTGAGATTCTGAGCCTTACGAAGTGAAAAGAGGAGCCTAAATTTTTTTGTAACAGAGTCCAGTGATCTTGTAATATCTACCACCCCACCATTTGGGAGTAACAGCAGTTGGAAGAAATGCCGGAGGATGTTTGCCTGGGTCCTGAGGCATGCGTGGGATTTCAGTACCCCATTCATGAGAATAAAAATCAGATGGAAAGACCTAGGATGTTTGATCTGGCTCTCAAGGATGGGGATGATTTGGCTGGTAGTAGAGTGAATTTGTGGCCTAAGGAATAGCTTTTTCAAAGACCCAAATGAAAGAAAGTTCAGGGTATGTTAGAGAAATCTTCCAACTTGATCAGACATATGTGGGGAGGTTCAATGTAAAATCAGTGGTTACATAATCCTGTTGTGACCTTGTCAGTTACTGCATTATCTTCTTCCACGCCAAGGGAAGTAGCTTCCATACACCAGGGAGGGAAGGTTAGAACTAGAAGTACAAGTGGTAACATTAAGCATTTACCAGGACAGCCACATAGGTTGTATGACAACACCTCTTTTAGATTACTGAAATGTCATAGACAGAAACAGAACAGGAAGTTCAACTGGGTTAGCCTCTAGCTGACTGTCTCCATATGACAGTTCTGCAATTCAGAAAAAAACTGAGCCTTCATTTCCAACACCTAAGAACTAAGAAACCTGTAATCATCTCTTAGCATACTCAGTTCTGCCCAAGTGCTAGATAGAAATCAAAGAACCAACATCTATGCAACTCCCTTCTTACTACTTGGAACTCTGGATAGAAGGTCAGAGCTGCAGGAGACCTTCATGATGCCTGGTCTGTCCCTTTCATTTCATAGCCTGAGGGTCACAGACGTACAGGGACTTGCCCATAGACACACCCTAATTGTACCAGAGACCATCTTTGACTTTCAGTACCAGCAGACCATTTAGCAAAGAACTCTCTATGTGCAAGGTCTACGTGAGCTAGGACCTGAGGACACCCAGATAAGTAAGATATCTTTCTACTGTCAATACTCATTCAAGACCATACTCTAATCCAAGTGTAAGCTCTGCTTGGGTGCTGTTCCAACATATCTGTTTTAAACCTGAAACATGAGTATAGAGATGGAACACTTTAATCACAAGGAACCAATTTCCATTTTCCATTTTGAACGTGCTGAGTCCAGACTGCCACCAACTCTTTACATGGAGGAGATCCACTGTCTTATGACTAGAGAAGGAAGAGAAGGGAAATTTTTCTCCAATATTCACCACATCATCTCCTGCAAATGATAAATCACTATAGAAAACCATGCCTTACATCAGAAAAGTGGCAAACAAAAACAACTGTGAAATTCATTTATTAATCACAAATTATGTGCACTTATTTCTAAATAGGCACTAAATTGTAAGGTTTTCTCTTTCGTATTTAGGGTTCTAGAGAAAGCATTCTTAATGTCTTAAAAGTAATATTGCCTTTTTGGCTTTTTCAAAGCCCACACTGGCTACAAAAAAGTCTGGGGACCCTGAAGGGGATAAGGCTAAATAATCTATCTCCCAGTGAAATTGCAGTGGCGGCATAAAACTGAGCATGCACAAGAAAATTATTGCACAATCAGCAGCCTCCAATTGCAGAAATGATCAAGCCACACGATGGTGCTATATCCCAAGTAGAAATGTTACTTTATCCCCTGTCAACATCCTTTTACCCTGTATCTATGAAAATGGTGTCTGAAAAAGGAGAGTCAGCTCCATGACTTAGCTAATAAAGGTATTTTCAGGAAAAATATAGTCCTATGAGCTGCAAGAAGCAGCAGCTGGGTTTGCTGAAAGGGCTGTAGCTTCTCTGTCCATGAAGGAAACCCTGGATTGTGGAGGTAGAGGGGAAGGGGAAGGTCATGGCCGTGAGTCCAGTGTGACTGCGGCTTCAGTCATTTATTATCTGTGCCATCTTGGGCTATTTGTATAACTCTTCTGTGTCTCTTTGTTTAGAGATGAATAGAATACATGGACTAGTCTAGAATAGTCTAGAATAGATGGAAATCTACCTCCTTATACATAGGGAAACATTTTCTATCAATTTTTGTGTCCCACAGCATCTAGCACTAAGTGGGAACTTAATGAAGTTTTAATGTATCCTGCATACAGCACTGAATCAGGGCCTTTATTACATGGCTTCATTTAATTCTTGATGTCAATGTCTGTGATAACTCAGTCAATCTTTTAATGAATCATTTAACCAATTAGTGAATGTATTTACTGAGTGGAAACTATTAGATAAAAAATCTTTACTTCTATAAAACTCAGGTTTTCAGAGAAGCAGGATTTTGAGAACCTACAAGAAAGATTAAGGGACAGTGTATGTGGAGGGAAGCCACAGCCTCTAGTGAGGCCAGAGGTGAGAGCTGTAGTGTGCAGAGAAGGTGAGTGTGGCTTGGCTCATCTAATGGATAAAGGTGAAATTGGCTTCTGAGCCATGTCAGGAGGAAACAGCTTAACTCCCTCTCTCTCGCTTTTTCTTTAATATTTTTATTATTTTATCTGTGCATAGAAAGTTGATGAGAGGAGTGCATTGTTTTTACTAAATTATTTATTCCTAATTATTTGGGAATTTTCCTAAAAAGTTTGGAAAATTCAGGAGAAAGTAAAAGAGAATGAAATAAATCCATAGTGCTGTGAGCTATGAGTCATCTCTGTTCACAGTTTGGTAACATTTTTTTCCCATCAAATATCTCATATGAATCTAAGATCATAACATCAAACTTATATTCTGCTTTTTCACTTAACACTGTGTCAACATTCCAATGACATTAGGTATTCTTATAAATATCTTTTTGATGGACACTTACCATTAAATCATGTGGATGCACTGCTACTAGCCTTTTGATAATTTTTAGATCCTTCGTATATTTCCAGTTTTTCAATATTTTAAATAATGCTGGGTTAAACATCTGACAGAGCATAAAAATGCTCATCTGTCTATTAAAAATACTTTAAGATAGAATCCAAGAAGGGAAATTTGTATGTCATAGGTTGTGAACATCTAAAGGATGGGTGGGTGGGTGGGTGGGTGGATGGATGGATGGATGGATGGACGGACAGGTAGAGATGAGATAGGAAGCTTGTTCTGATTTACAATTCCATCAGTTATGCAGGATGTAGAAAAGGGTATGTTTTATACACATCATCCTAGTTTTTAAATATTTGATAATTTTAGAAAACATATACCCAAAGAACTTTGTTTTGATTTATATTCCTTTATTAAAAATCTTTTTTCAAAAAGTAAAATAAATGTGTATCTTGTCCATAATATGAGAAGAGTCTTCTTAGAAAAAAGAACATACAGGAGGGGGCCTCCACCTCGCCATCGGCTAGCCTGGGCGGCCGGCTCAGCTCTCATTCCTTCGTTACCCCACAGGGCTCCAAGGGAGACGGGAGACACTCCTGGACCATGAAGCATTTCAAGAAACCAACCTACTGCAACTTCTGCCACATCATGCTGATGGGCGTTCGGAAGCAAGGCCTGTGCTGCATTTGTGAGTCAGCGTCCTTCAAACCCCTTTTCCTCAGGAATTATCTTGCTCTGCACATGGTTTAGTCATTCCAGGGAAAGTCTTGATACTGCTGCCTCCTGGCTGAAGGGACCACCCCTGTTATTCCAGGAGCAGGGAATAAAGCAAAACCTTCATGTTCTGGGTTTGCTCTAGCCAAGTCAAATGGACAAGTACTGTCCTATTATTGGAAACACTGACCCCCTAAAATAAAGTTATTAAAGTTCACAAATAATTGAAAAGCATCTCATACTAATTTCAGTTGAGCTCTACTCATGAACATTTATTTGGCGTGGTCAGAAGAACTTTTTTTTTTTATTAACAAGCAATATTATATTCTGTAAGTGCAATGGAAATTAAAATTACTCACTTGTTTTACTTTAGAATTTATTCAGTAATGTCAGTAAAGGAAAAACATGGGTGAAAGGGTAGAGGAACACTGGAAAGGAGCACAGAAGAAAGAGATGGTGGGGAAGGAAGAAAGAAGGGGTGATGGGAAAAAAGGACAGATTTGGGGAACAGGAGAAGATGGGAGCAGACTGTGGCAAGAAACCTTTGTTGGGCCTGGGGCATGTGAGTACAGAGGATCACCAACTACCCCAGCAGGCAGACAGCAAAATTCACCTGAACCCACCAAAGACCGAAGAGCTGCAGCTGCAGCAGGCCCTTGGGTACCTTCCAGGTCACCATAGTGACAAGCACATGTGAACCAGGCTAAAAGTGACCTCGGTTACAAAAGTCATCTCAGCAGACCTGGACCAGTGTCTACCAAGAGAAATCCTCAGCAAGCTAAAGAAGGGGCTCACCAGGTTTTGTGGCACCCATTCACACCCAACTCTCACCCCCTTTTCTACCAACCCAGTCTCACTCCTAGGGGATTCTAAGCCTGTGGGCCTCTGCTGCTTTCATACTAGTGAGTAGTGGAAACTACAAGCACAACAGTGACTTATGAAATAGCTGTTCTGCCCCAGTCACAAGCTGTTTTATACCATCTATCTCATTCAATGCTGCAAAGGCCCTACAAAGTGAAAGAGAGGCACTTTTATTCCCATTTTATTCCTAAATTTCAGAGAGGTGAAACAACTTACCCAAGACGATTGGCATAGTTACAAGTGGCAGAATTAGAGTACAGGCCCAGGCCTACCTAACCCCAAGAGTAGGAAGACCCTGATCCTTCCATCTACCCTCCAACCTCCCTGGCATCCAATACTGACTCCTCACACTTTCGTTAAGTGGAAAGCACCTTTCTGGAAAGTTTCCTGCAGTGGATAACAGTGTGATGGGGTGGAGGAGGCAGAGGTGTGTCTAGGAGAAAACTATGGACTCTTTTCTCAATGAACAATTGAAGACTGTTTTGAAGTTCCAAATATGTCCCCTGAGCCGTAGAGGGAAGCAAGGCCTTGACTGCAGTGAGGTTGGACTTTCCTAGCTGGTCACTGACAAGTGCTTTCCTTATTTTTTTTTCAGACTGCAAATACACTGTCCATGAACGCTGTGTATCCAAAAATATTCCTGGATGTGTCAAAACGTTCTCAAAACCCAAAAAGGGCAACGAGGTTAGTGCCACCTAGTGCCTTGTCCTACTGCATGGTGCATCCCAGGTAACATGTCCATCGTCACAGAATCCTGGACAGGAAGGGCTTGGGAGCTTTATCCAGTTGCTTCCCTGCCTTGAGGACCACATGTAAACCATCCTGTCATTCATCAATCCATTCAGTATCTCCCTGGTGCCGCCATGTACCAGGCACTGTGCTAAGAGGTACATGGGTTATAAGATGGCCCCTAGCTGGCTGGAGAATTGGGAATCTAGAGAGATATGGAAGGAAGTACCAAGGAGTGAGATGTCAAAAGCAGTGGGACTTGTGAGCCCCAACGGGGAGGTCAGGGTAGAATTCACAAAGGTGGCACTTGAGTTGTGCCTTAAATCCAGATCAGGACTTCACTAGGCATTGCGGAGGACAAGGCTCCCAGGTGGAGAAGCCTCAGTGCAAAGGTCTGGAAGCATGGCTTCCTCGGATTCGTATGTTGCTGGGTGAGATGCAAGCGAGGAGACCTAAAGGAAAGTGAGAAGAAATATGTGCACTGGTAGGGTGAGATCCAACCTGGAGGCTGCTTGTGAGGCCGGCTAAGATGCTAGAAAGTTTTCTATACAGCTAAGGGGCCACTGAAGCGCTGTGAGTACAGGAAGAGATGATGGTGTTTGCAAATTAGGTTAATCACCCCAGAGAGAGATCAGAGGTAGTGGCCTCTTCCAACAGTTCAGTTAAGAGATAGTGCTGTCTGACGGCCCCCCTGAGGCAGAGTCTGAGCTCACCCATGGCTCTGACATCTCCTCTGTAGTGGGCATGGCCATGTCTCTGCGGTGGGGTCCCCAGTTTTTGAGTATTTTAATAGTCCCACTGCTGAGGTAGAGGGGAAAGTTTGAGAGCTAATTTGAAGGTACCACCACTCGCACTTGGTGATGCAGAGGTAGAGGACAAGAGCAGGGAAGAGATCAGGAATGGCTCCTGGGCTTCTAACTTGGCCATTGGGTGATGCCACTCACTGTGTCTGGAAATAGATGTCCCTTTAAAAGAGCAGAGGCAGAGCATGCTGAGTTACTGCAAAGGCAAGAGAACGCTGAGAGTCTCAACCCAGAGATGGTTAGCAACAGGAAGTGGTATCCAGCCCTCCCCAAAAGAACTCCTGAGAGGGGTACCTGCAGGACACGCATGCATGCCCATGAGACACCGCATGGCCTCTCAGCCGCTCCTCCCGCACCATGCCCATACACACCTTTTCATGTCCATGCCTCTCACATGGTGCACCTCCTGGGCTCAGGCCTTAAGCCTGCACTCGGGCCACTTGCCACATACAGACTAGAGGAGGCAACTGAGGAGCCAGCAGGGCACTTTCAAGACCTTCTGAGCCTCCAACAGCAACCCACGTCCTTCCCATCTCTTCTGATGCCATAAGAGGATGGAGAAGCATGTGGTTTTGGGAGACAACCAGAGACTTGGAGTCCGTAGACCCAGCTGAGTCCCCATTTGGCCACTTACCAATCAGGAACCTAGGCCTATCCCTTAACCTCTCTGAAGTCTCATTTTTATCTCTGCAAAGTACAGAGAGCAATAATCAGAGCAAACTCAATGTGACCATGTAGATGACAAGTTGATTCGTAAACTGGGTTTTTTATACCTATGAGGGTGCATAGCAGAAAGTGAGACGATCAATTGATTTACCTTCTAGAGTGGCTTTACCAAACATGTTTTGGGGGGCACACATAGAAATTTAATTGACAAGTTATTTTAACTTGTATTTAATGCAAACATGGATGGTCTCTCTCTTCTAGAATACCTTTAATATTGTGCTTGCAGTTGACACTGCAGGCTATCTCCCCCACCACCCACCTCTAGAATTCGTAGCCACTTCCCTCTCCTGGTGGAAAACTTTGGAAAGTTCTGTTGAATTCCTGGGGGAAATAACTGAGGGCTCAGGCTAGTTTGGCTGCACTTACACAGACACACACATCATTCCCACCTGTTTCCCAAGTTCCTGGGCTGTCCTAGTGGAATTTCCTGGCCCAGTGGCCAGGAAGCAGGACAACCTGCTCTCCAGTCACTGACTGACTCACACTAATTTCTTTGGACTTTTTTCCTATATTCCTTCTAGAGTGCTTCTCAGTCTTGGCTGAACATTATAATTACTCAGCATGTTTAAAAATAATGAGTCCTACCCCCCAAAACTCTAATTTACTTGGTGTGGTATATGGACTGGGCATTAGGGCTTCTAGAAGCTCTCTAGATGGTTCTGATGGGCAAGTGAGACTGAGAGCCCCTAACCTATAGAAGACAGGGAACAGGATTTTAACCATCTGTGGGCACATCCAAAGGGCCATGACTGTGCCCAAGAATCCTTCCAAGTGTGATATCTCATTTAATCCTCCCAGCCACCCCAGAGGTGGGGCTTATTTTGCCAATTTCTACAGATGAAGGAGCTAAGACTCAGAGAGGTCCAGGAACTGGCCACAGGTCACCTGCTTTGATGTGGACAATAATTCCGACCAATTTTGTCTGGGACCCAAGCCCTGCCTATGTTTCCCTGCATCACGTTGCCTTCCTGAAGAGGGCACCTACAAGCATATCACTCTGCAGGTTCTGCAAGACAGGGGGAATGACACTCAATATGCCACCCAGTGGCTTGCTGCCAGGCCAAAGGAACTATTCAAAGCACAGGCAAAGTGGTTTTTCATCTGTTTGATGAGCGTGATGGTGGTTAGGGAGGCAGCACGCACATGCAATTCAGCGAGGCTGCCCAGTGTCAGATAAGTGTGTCCGCTAAATAGGAAGCAACCCACCCTGGACTGGACTCCCCTCCTTGTGCTCCTCCTATCCCCTCCTCTGTCCCAGGACCCAGGGTTGTGGTTCTGCAGCCTTCCCTGGTATCCTTCCCTTCCCTCCTGCAGGTGATGCAGCACGCGTGGGTGGAAGGGAACTCCTCCGTCAAGTGTGACCGGTGCCATAAAAGTATCAAGTGCTACCAGAGTGTCACTGCGCGGCACTGCGTGTGGTGCCGGATGACGGTGGGTGCCCAGGGCAGCCTGCTTCTCTTCAGTGTGTTTTTTTTTATCAAGTTGTGGCCAAGAAGTGGTGGACATCCCGCCAGAAGGTGTAGGTAGAGCCAAAGAGCAAGGCTAGGGGGCCCAGGGCCCCCATTTAATGTCCTGATTCTAACAGTGCCTCCCGTGAATTACCCAGCTGCTGGGGAAAGGGCACCCCTTGGGGAAGCAGGCTACTTAAGAAGCTGGGCAATCCACTTCTGTGAAAAGCAGGCCAGATTCTCAACTTCCTTTGCCTGGGTGTCATCTGGGGCCAGGAGCATTGACAAAGTGGGAGAGGAGTTAGACACCAGAGTCCCTGCAGTTCGAGGTGTCCCAAGAAGGTACACTGCTTACTGTGACTCCACTGCCAGGCTCAGAGGTGTGCGCTGCTGCCACCAGCCACAGCAACTGTCCAAACCCCCTCTGGATTTCTGGAGTTTCCCCAAATGCCAAAATGCCTGACAAGGCAAACACGACCATGTCTCATCCCCTGATGCAGGTATCAGCCTTAAAAAGGGTATCTCCAATCAGACTGCAGAACTCTGAAGATAGAGGTTGATTACAGCCAATCTCCTATGATTTGTTCAGCAAGGTCTCTTTCCTTCCAGAGACTCGGAGCCTAGGGAGCAAATATCCAAGAGGGACTCTGTACTCCACAAGGGGGCAGGTACTACATAACACACACACATAGACACACACACACGCACAAATCAGGTTTTGGGGAAACTGTTTCCTTGGTCACTTTCACTCATGTTCATCTTCACTTTCTTCCTCCAGTTTCACCGCAAATGTGAATTGTCAACACTGTGTGATGGTGGGGAGCTCAGAGACCATATTTTGCTGCCCACCTCCATATGCCCCATCACCCGGGTAAGTCTCTAGTTCAAATTTAAAAGAAGTCAGTGCTGTATCAGTCAGACTGTCAGAGAAAACTCCCCTGACTAAACTGGTTCCAACTGCTGGCCACTCAAAATGTTCTGAGATGGCCCCACACAGAAAACATGTCATCAAATCACCTTGCAGGTAGAGCACAGCTCAAGGACCCCAGACACCCCTGCACATGGTTAGGCCTCCCAGGCCTGCCTTATCCCTGTCAACCTCTCTCCTATGCCCAAATATGGGCCTCCCCCATCTTGAGGATTTTCTTTGGGTGCTTCAACCCTATTTGAAAATGAAAGAGCAAAATCAAAATTTAATTAAAAATTAAAATTTATCCTCACGTGCAACTTTTCTCTGTCTCCTGTGTCGAAAACTTCTCTTTCAAACCAAGTATCAAATGGGGGACAGCTCAGTGATAGAGTTTTTGACTGAAAGCCAAGTATCAAATAACCATTCCCTTCTTAAAAATCTGTCTGATTCCCACTGAGTCCTCACATCTCACCCTTAACTTGACCAACTATTCCTTTTTCATGAAAAATAAATGAAGAAAAAACACCACTTTGGAAAACCATTTGATAGTATCTACCAGGTTGGAAATACACAAACACTAGTCACCAGGTTCCCCACTATGTAGCTACCCGAGACAGATGAGCATTGATTACACCAAAAGACATGTGCAAGAATGTTGATATCAACTATAGTCATAAACCCACTGCCTGGGTCAGAAGCCTGTACCTGCTGCCACGAGCCACAGCAACTGTCCACACACCCTCTAGATCCCTGTTAAAAACTGAAAATAATATATAAATGAGTTAAGGAATATTTGTATAATGGAGTATTACATTGCAATGGAAAAAGAAAGGTGCTTATGTGCAAAAACATAATCTCAAGACTAGAATGCCAAACAAAAGAAGCGACACTCAAAGAAAGGCCTGCTCTATGACTTTATAGGAAATTTTAAATCCAGGCAAAATCAGTACAATATCAGGAGTCACAACAGTTATGCCTAAAGAGGTGGTGGTTTTATGTATATATGTGTGTGTGTGTATGTATGTATTTATGTATGTATGTGTATACATATATATACACACACATACATATGCAAATATATATCCATATATGTTGCAAAAGTTCATGGAGCTATTGATACAAGTTTTAGCATTATACTCCATGTGAGATAAACCTCAGTAAACTAACTCATATTTTTAAAAACAAGTATACAAAAAGGGCAAACTAAGAACATTTTCTTCCTCAACATCACATGCATTTAGATAGTGCTAAGCAGAGAAGCCAGAAATAAGATCTTGCCTCTTGAAGCTCAAGCTCCATTGAGTAGATTTCTGCCAGTTTCAGCAAGTGATGAGAAAAGGCTGGAGAGTCCCAGAGAAACCGATAGAGGAGGATTTCTTCTTTCTCTTTTTAAATTAAATTAGTTTACGTCACTGTTTGTGTTTTTGAAGTGTAGGGTTTTCCCCTTAGGTGTTGTTACCACACCACACCCACCACCAAAGCCCCCACAGTCCTCCACCATTTGTGCTCCCTCCCCACTTCTGACCACTTCGTTTTTTAGGCCCAAAACCACTCTGAAAAACTCCTCCCAGCACTATTCTGGTTTTCTTTCTTTTTCTTTATTAATGAACCATTTGTTTTTGTTCTGATCTATTTTTTTAATTGGGATTTTTTCTCTTTCAAAATATGCTTGTCTTTCCTCTCTTCTAACAGGACAAGCAAGGAGGAAAGTCTGATGGCAGCGCAACGAGCAAGGGTGAACTTGTAATGCAGGTACCTCAGCAAATCCAAGTCTGATCGCTCACCCTGAGTTGGCCCAAGGCTGTGGAGGAGAGTACGGGGTTGGGGCCTAGAAAAATAGCTCAAGATTTACTTTCTCATCTGATCAATTATATCACACCAGAGGGCACTATTTCCAGCCTTAAGTTACCCTTGACTGCCACACTGTAGGCATGTGGTGAAAAGGGAGGCTGGTTGATTCCATTGCTAGTCTAATTGGCTCCATTGCCATTTTAGGAAGAAGTTACATAAAACTTCAATATACACCCTTCCTAAATAATAACAAGAATGGGTCCTAAAAATAGACAGTGGATTTTCCAAGATCTCCAAGCTGTCTGAAGAATGTGATCTGCCAAAACGAAGCTAAACAGATCCAAAAGTTCTTTATCCTTACGTGTGTGGTTAACAACTCTTTTTTTTCTTGAGTTCACTAATGAACATCTTTGTCTTTGCGCCTTTCTCAAAGTTCCAGGGAATGCAGGAAAGGCAGCCTGGGGTGGTACAAAGAGTACTAGAAAAGTAAATAGAAAAACTAGGGCCTCCTCTTCTGCTTCTGAGTCTTAAGTTTTCTTGTTTGAAGAGAAACAGCAATTTCTGCACTGCCCGCCTCCACAAGATGCTGTAAGATTGGAAAAGTGCAGGTTGGTGTTTTCTAAATTAAAACATAAGGGATAATGATGGAGGAACTTTAAAATGTGGGAAAGCTCTAGATACCTAGAAGGGCAGAGAGTCAGGCAGAATACACACACGCACAGCTAGAACAGTTGTTTATACCTGGCATCCATCTGTTACCTGTATCTGTTCTGCTTCAATGGTGCAATGCTGCACAGGTTGTTAAACATTTTGAATATTACCTCCAAAGGTAAAGAATTCCTCCTTAGACTCCAAAATGCTCTGATTGTCACACAGACAGTCACCATGGGTAGATGAGAAAATTCTTTAAAATCATAAAGAATGTTGCTGCCCATTTCAAATAGGGTGGCTTTGTCTTGGCTAAACTTTTAGCTGAGAACTAGAAAAGTAAGCATTATATAAGGAATATGGTGCAGAGATAAACCTCTATATCAGTGTGTCCTCTAGCTGAATACTGTATTTCTTGAATACCCCCACCTTTGTATCTGATGGCTGGGGGCTCCTTGATAGGAGGGTTATACAGTTGACCTTAAACAACATGAGTTTGAACTGCATGGATCCATTTGTGTTTGTGTTTTTCAGTAACTGCTTTTGCTCTTCATATCTGCAGGCTCCATATTCATAGATCAAGCAGATATTGGTTGGTTGAATCTGTGGATGGGAGCCCACAGATACAGAGGGCTGGAGGAAACTATTAGGGATACTTGAGTATCTGCTGGTGTTGGTATCCTTAAGAGTCCTGAAACCACTTTGGAGAAGTTTCTTTTTAGTTCTTCTGACCATTTTTTGACTGGATTATTTTCTTTGTTTTTTGTTGAGTTTCATCAGCTCTTTGTAGATTTTTACGATCAATCCTTTATCATTAGTGTTGTGTGCAAAAATTTTCTCCCAGTCAGTGGGATTTCTCTTTGTTTTGGTTATTGAAATTTCTCCAAAGAGGAAATGCAAATGGCTAACAAACATGTGAAAAATGTTCAACATCACTTGTAATCAGGGAAATGCAAATCAAAACTACAATGAGATACCATCTCACACCAGTGAAAATGGCACATATTAAAAAAACTAGATTGAAAAATAAAATCAAAACCGAAAATACATTTTGCAGCAGGGACCCTTCTTGCTGGAGACTGTGTGAACCCAGCAGAAGGCTCACCGAGGAGACAGAGGTAAGCTGGGAGGCTTGCCCACACCGGGCACCTTCTAGCCTGCAGTTCCAGCCCAGAGGGGAGCAGCACCCACCGCTGGGGCAGACCGGGCGTGCAGGGGAGCGCGTCGCCGGCTCTGGCATTTTGCAGCAGGGACCCTTCTTGCTGGAGACTGTGTGAACCCAGCAGAAGGCTCACCGAGGAGACAGAGGTAAGCTGGGAGGCTTGCCCATGCTGGGCGCCTTCTAGCCTGCAGTTCCAGCCCAGAGGGGAGCAGCACCCACCGCTGGGGCAGACCGGGCGTGCAGGGGAGCTCGTTCCCGCATCGCCATTTTGCAGCAGGGACCTTTCTTGCTGGAGACTGTGTGAACCAGCAGAAGGCTCACCGAGGAGACAGAGGTAAGCTGGGAGGCTTGCCCATGCTGGGCGCCTTCTAGCCTGCAGTTCCAGCCCAGAGGGGAGCAGCACCCACCGCTGGGGCAGACCGGGCGTGCAGGGGAGCGCGTCGCCGGCACCGGCATTTTGCAGCAGGGACCCTTCTTGCTGGAGACTGTGTGAACCCAGCAGAAGGCTCACCGAGGAGACAGAGGTAAGCTGGGAGGCTTGCCCACACCGGGCGCCTTCTAGCCTGCAGTTCCAGCCCAGAGGGGAGCAGCACCCACCGCTGGGGCAGACCGGGCGTGCAGGGGAGCTCGTTCCCGCATCGCCATTTTGCAGCAGGGACCCTTCTTGCTGGAGACTGTGTGAACCCAGCAGAAGGCTCACCGAGGAGACAGAGGTTAAGCTGGGAGGCTTGCCCACACCGGGCACCTTCTAGCCTGCAGTTCCAGCCCAGAGGGGAGCAGCACCCACCGCTGGGGCAGACCGGGCGTGCAGGGGAGCGCGTCGCCGGCACCGGCATTTTGCAGCAGGGACCTTTCTTGCTGGAGACAGTGTGAACCAGCAGAAGGCTCACCGAGGAGACAGAGGTAAGCTGGGAGGCTTGCCCATGCTGGGCGCCTTCTAGCCTGCAGTTCCAGCCCAGAGGGGAGCAGCACCCACCGCTGGGGCAGACCGGGCGTGCAGGGGAGCTCGTTCCCGCATCGCCATTTTGCAGCAGAGACCTTTCTTGCTGGAGACTGTGTGAACCAGCAGAAGGCTCACCGAGGAGACAGAGGTAAGCTGGGAGGCTTGCCCATGCTGGGCGCCTTCTAGCCTGCAGTTCCAGCCCAGAGGGGAGCAGCACCCACCGCTGGGGCAGACCGGGCGTGCACGGGAGCGCGTCGCCGGCACCGGCATTTTGCAGCAGGGACCCTTCTTGCTGGAGACTGTGTGAACCCAGCAGAAGGCTCACCGAGGAGACAGAGGTTAAGCTGGGAGGCTTGCCCACACCGGGCACCTTCTAGCCTGCAGTTCCAGCCCAGAGGGGAGCAGCACCCACCGCTGGGGCAGACCGGGCGTGCAGGGGAGCTCGTTCCTGCATCGCCATTTTGCAGCAGGGACCTTTCTTGCTGGAGACTGTGTGAACTAGCAGAAGGCTCACCGAGGAGACAGAGGTAAGCTGGGAGGCTTGCCCATGCTGGGCGCCTTCTAGCCTGTAGTTCCAGCCCAGAGGGGAGCAGCACCCACCGCTGGGGCAGACCGGGCGTGCAGGGGAGCGCGTCCCCGGCTCTGGCATTTTGCAGCAGGGACCCTTCTTGCTGGAGACTGTGTGAACCCAGCAGAAGGCTCACCGAGGAGACAGAGCAGGGACCTGTCTTTGCTGGAGACTTGTGAACCCAGCAGAAGTTCCCCAGAGGAGCCAGTGGTGAGCTGGGAAGGTCGCCCAAGATGCCGGCCAGTACCAGTAACACAGTGTCACAAGGAATACGGCAAATTAGAAAACAGGAAGTAGGGAGTAGAAAAACAACATGCAACCCAGCAACTCCTCAGCAAAATAGCACACCACAAAAGGAAAACCATCTACCAGATTGCAACGACAGTAACTTGGAAGAACTTCTGAGCCTTCCAGATAGAGAATTTAAAATTGCTGTGATTAAAAAACTGACAGAAGTCATAAAGGAAAACAGTGATAAGGGGAAAATAATTAATGACCAGAAGAATGAAATTGAGTCCCTAAAGAGGGAAGTAAAAGAAATGCAGGAGATCAAAGAATTAATGGAGACGCTAAAGAACTCTGGGAAAAGCAGTGAAAGCAGAATAGATGAAATGGAAGAACGAATAAGTACTCTTGAAGACACAGAAATAAAAAGAACTAAAACAGAAAAGGAAGGAGAAGTACGAAGGAAAAAGACCGAAGAAAGACTTCAGGAACTATCTGACTCCATGAGGAAAGGAAATATAAGAGTTATAGGAATCCCAGAAGGAGAGGAGAGAGATGTAGGAACAGAGAAAATATTCAAGGATATAATTGAAGAGAACTTCCCAAACGCGAAGAAGGAGCTGAAAATTGATATACAAGAAGCAAGAAGAACACCAAACTTCCATGACGAAAGGAAAAATACAGCAAGACACATAATAGTAAAGCTCCCAAGAATCCAAGACAAAGAAAAAATAATGAAACTAACAAGAGGGAAGAAACAGATAACATTCAAAGGGAAACCAATCAGACTGACATCAGACTTCTCTCAAGAAACACTACGGGCAAGGAGAGAGTGGAGGGACATAGTCAACAGACTCCAAGAAAACAGATGCCAACCAAGAATACTCTATCCCACAAAGCTCTCCTTCCTCTTTGAAGAAAGAATATGGACCTTCCCAGACAAACAGAAACTCCGGAATTTCATTGCGACTAAACCCCCACTCCAAAAAATACTACAAGGAGTCCTAAAGCCAGAACCTCAGAGGGACGAATAACAACAAAAGAAGGCCAAAGAAAGTTATTAAAAGAATAAATAAATAAAATCAAAGGAAAGACAAACACAATGGCAAATACAGATGCTAACATATCAATACTAACTCTAAATGTAAATGGACTAAACTCTCCAATAAAAAGACACAGAGTTGCAGGCTGGATTAAGAAACAAAACCCAACCTTTTGCTGTCTCCAGGAAACACATTTAGCTGCAAAAGATAAAAATAGACTCAAAGTTAAAGGATGGAAAACAATTCTACAAGCAAATGGACCAAAAAAGAAGGCAGGAACAGCTATACTCATATCAGATAAAACAGATTTCAAACTTAAAAAGATAAAAAGAGACCCCAGTGGTCATTACATTATGATCAAGGGGATAATAC